ACTCGATCAAAAATCGTGATCGAGTTAACATTAAAGTTAACCGCGGAAAATATGTACGTAATGGACTTTTACAGTGACTGCGTGAAACGATGAACATGAATATTTTCATCTAATATGCTTGAAATTAGTCCTTCATCGTTGATTTTATCACCTCATTATTGTAGTTAGTAATGTTTCAAGGTACATTGGTTTAATTTCTTAGCCCATCACACGTATATGATGAGAGCTTGATGGTCTTTGATGGCATTAGGTTAACTTTAATTTTTGAATGCGCACATAATCAGAAATTGTGGATCATTCCAATTTCCAATCCTTGTGGTGGTAGCGCTGCAGCGATACAAGCGACTCATTATCAGTAAAAAAAAATGTCAATTTTAATCTTGCTTATTATACGTCTTTTTCAAGATTCATATTCGAAGCTGACTTATTATTGTTATTATTAACATCAGACGGTTTCCACCCTAGATTGCTCAACGAATTAGCAACCGTCCTGGCCGGCCCTTTAACAGGATTCTTTCGAAAAACCTTAATCAAAGGGACTTTGCCGGCCGACTGGAAAGAAGCCCAAGTGACACCCCTGTTCAAAAAAGGTGACAGGAGTAACCCAGGTAACTACCGTCCTGTAAGTCTCACAAGTGTTGTGTGTAAGGTGATGGAATCGGTTATGAGGGATAGGATTATAGATCACTTGACTGTTAACCATCTTCTATCAGACTGTTAGAATGGCTTTATTGCTGGCAGATCACGCACCACTAATCTCCTGTCTACCTTGAAAAATTGGACTCGCCTGCTGGACGAAAGGGTGCCAGTGGATGCACTGTACCTCGATTTTGCCAAGGCATTTGATAGTGTTCCGCATGAGCGACTGTTACGTAAAGTTACTTCTTTGGGAATAGAGGGAAATGTACTCCAATGGATCAGGAATTTCCTAATAGGCAGAAGACAACGTGTCAGCATTATTAACGGAACCGTATCAGACTGGGTAACTGTGCGCAGTGGCGTACCGCAAGGAAGCGGTCTTGGACCAGTTTTGTTCGTCGCTTTTATAAACGATCTACCAGAAGTAGTGTCAAGCGTGTGCTCCATGTATGCCGATGACACAAAAGTTTAAAGTTTATAATACAGTTAAGAATGCGTCAAATAAAATGCAACTGCAAAATGATCTTGATAGTTTAGTTGACTGGGATGATGCGTGGCAGCTGCGTTTCAATGCTGATCAAGTTAATACATCCAATAAACTGCTTGGGCTGATCAGACGCTCCTACGAGTACCTAGATATAGAAATGATGAAGCTGTTGTTCACCTCTGTCGTGCGCCCGAACCTAGAGTTTGGAAACGTTGTGTGATCACCGAGACTTGAAAAGGACAAAAATTTAGTTGAGAGTGTTCAATGACGTGCAACAAGGATAATCCCAGGATTAAAGGGCAAGTCTTATGAAGAAATATTGAAGATTATGAAGCTTCCCAGTCTCCGTTATCGTCGCCTGCGTAGTGCGTGGTGACCTCATTGAAGTTTACAAGTTAGTATACTCATGGTTTGTACAAGGTCCCAGAAGGATTACTAGAATTTGAAACAAGAACCAACACCAGGGGCCACAGCTATAAACTAAAAAAAAGCGGTGCAACTTATCCACGCGACAACATTTCTTCTCGCTTCGAGTCACTGACATGTGGAACAGCCTCCCTGAAGATATTGTTGATGCTCCGAGTATGCAAATCGCGTTCAAGAACAGACTAGACAAGGCCACGCATGAGCATATATTTAGTCTTAAAATGCCTCGTACCCTACGGAACAACTGATATTTATAAGCTATTTTAAATCCACTGTCCGTTGAAAGGATCTGATCAAAAGGCCAGTCTAGTCAAGAAAAGCGCAAGAATCGGCGACAGGCCTATCCAGGCCTATTCCTTAAATGCCGAAAATACTATACTATACTATACTGACAAAAACGCTAACAACGTTTGCAGATGGGTATTGTGAACGAATAAATTCTTTTTATTTAGCTCAAAATCTGTTATGATTTGACTACGGTTCGTTATGCGTGGAAAACGTGCTAAAAAAACTGTGTATCATAATTTGCCTTTAGGATAAAGTGTCAGAGTGAAAAAATTGACCGCAAATGAAATTAATTATCAAAAATTTTGTTCTTAAATATGATGAATTTATTTCTACGAATTTTATCATCTCAAAAGATAATTTTCTTTTGTTGAGAAAAGTAATCTTATTAAAAAGTATAGATGAAAATGCACGGGTAACTACTTGCGGACGCCTTCCAATTCAGATTCGGAAACTATTCCTTCGTGACCGATCTTAATATGTAGTATCAGAATATTTTAACAGCTGTGTGTACCTGTTACTGTGATTAGTTCTGTCAACCAGATGCGAGTTATATTTTGCGTTGCAATGCTTTCGCGATACGAAAAAGCATCAACCGTTGTCGAAAGAGGACGTGCCAGCAAACCTCTCAGTTTCCGTAAATTGTGCAACCCGTCAACAATCGCTCTTAAATTGTGCAACTTGCTAAACGACCCCTCAATGATCAGTTCTTTTGAGACTTGAGAGTCCAATCTTATTGACCCCAGCTAATGCTACGCTACCTTATAGCCTAGCTGCCTAGGTAGCCAAATGCCAATGAAACACGTTGGCACATGACTTCTTCACCTTCAAACCGGCATCAAATCAATCAATCAATGAATCAAATCTTATTGACCCGGTCCCGGCCCCCGGGTCAATGGGTGCTTCACCAAACGCATCAGGTCTACTCTAGAGTCTAGTTGAAAAATTACAATGACCTATTCACAACTCAGACACTTCTGACTTCTAATTCGGTATTATTGCAGATTAACTACATCCAAAAAAAAGGGTGTTTTTTTTTTAATTATATGTTTTTTGGGGTGTAGATTACGAATCTGAAATCCATTTTTGGCGGTCGGCATCGGAAAACCGATTTTTTTCGCGACTTACTAACATGGGGGTTACGTAATAACGGGTAAGTTTCATTCAAGATGTTAGGCATTTTTAGCGCGATTTTTGGGTCGGAAAAAAATCGGTTTTCCGATGCCGACCGCCAAAAATGGATTTCAGATTCGTAATCTACACCCCAAAAAACATATAATTAAAAAAAAACGCCCTTTTTTTTGGATGTAGTTAATCTGCAATAATACCTCTAATTCTATGAAAGTGTGTTTGCCAGTGGGCAGTGAATGCTGCAAGAGCAGGACTCCAGGACCAGGAGTGGTATTATGTATTGAAAGCACCAGAGTGGGCCTATAGATTGTCATTGGAGACTTCAGACTTGGAGTTTGAGATACTTTGTTGGGACTTGGGTCTTGGGAGAGACCAAAAACGCAAAACTGCCAAAAGCAGCCCAATAGCTGAATAGGCTAGGGCCAAAGCCAATACCGGTACCAGATTAATTCCAGGTTATTTCCAGCTCCTATTGTCTATTGAAAAAAAAAACGTCAGAAGAGTTGAGAACTTGAGAGTACCAGTCTAGGGCCTCTAGGCTGTCTAGCCTACCAGGTTTCAATATATCTAATTATATGTAATAACTAAAAAAAAATTTGATTACTCTAAAAAAATGTGGTTTAGTTTTGTTTACAAAATAGATCATTTTCATGTAATGTGGGCAACTTTAGTGCTGCTGAGTGCTGACTGTGACTGTGTGAGTCATTGACATTGACACCTTTTGACAAATTGACAGTAGATCATTGATTGTAAATATTTTAAATTTTTAGATAGATAGGCCTACCTAGATTTTTATTTTAAACTAGTTAGGTATGCAAATTTGCAATCCTGACTCCTATATTACTTGCTCTTAAATTAGAAATATACTTGCAGTTGTTACTGTCAACCTTGTGAATTTGTGAAAGCTATTTCTTATTAGATTATTGTAATGTCATGCCAATAACCTTGCGGTCCTTGCCTGAATGCCTGTACTGGACCAGTGGCAGACTGACTCTGACAGTAGCAGTGATACCTACCAGTAAATTTGCTGGCCTTCAATAGGAATGTTCTCTTTTTTTACCAGAACTGAACCATGTCTTTCTAGCATGATTGAATAAGATCTCAGGGTGCAGAAGGTGGAAGCAGCATCGCCAATATATGGGTTTTTAAGCCCAAAGCGTCGCCGACCATTTTCAAGATGCGTCGCCAGGTAATTTTTAATGAAAAGCTATTTACGCTGAGTAATGAAAAACTATTTACAAGCCACAAACTTATGTACAAAGTTGCATGCACGTGTTACCCCAAATAACTAATTTTACCATAAAAACAGTCCGATTGTACAGCAAGTGTCAACTGAACATGTGATGATGCAGTCTGACACTCTGACTGCTCTAATGTGACCACAACTACATTTTGTTTTCATTTTTTTGGCGGGAACTCATTGCAACCAATTTCTGGACAAGCTTTACTGCATCCTGATCCATCCAACGTACTGGAAACCTTACTTTTTTTATAAATAGTGTGCCAAAGACTGACAAATATATTAAATGCAAGAATTACAATCTAAATACCTATGTCGGCAAGATCTTCTGAAGGCGTAAATTTTGCTACTGAAGCATCGCCAAAGATCTTGCAATATTCATCCACTCTCTGCTCAGTGGAATTAAGATCTGTACCTAGTTGTCAACTTGTCATGTGATAATCAAATTCTACTAATTGTAGTTATATCTTCCTTTTGAGCTGTAAATAGAGGCTTGAGCTTTCCTGCCATTTTTGGAACTGACATATTCCTGCTGCTGCTAGTGCTAGGATGCTTTACTTCTTATCTAATTGTTGAAAGTACACAATCAGGCTGTATAATTCTAAATTTATTGAAAATATATTGCTTGGAGCTGCAAAATTTCATTAATAAGTCATAAAATTCAAATCTTGTCATATCTTTTATGGCTTTTGAGTTTCGCCGTCTGGCACTCTGGCTGTGGCTGGTCAGGCTTATATGTATGAGTATGACTTTTTTAGGTTCTCTATTTATAATTGGTCATTAATAAGTCACCTGAAATGCATGTTCAAGTCATTTCTGGTATTTTTTATAGCAGAAGTTTGTCTTCCCTTCTTTGTTCAAGATTTTTTCAGGCTATATCTTAATCTAGTGAATTGGAACATATGTTTTGGTATTGATTCTTGAATAATCAATAAAGAGGAGAACTTCATCATGGCTGCCAACAAAAAAGTGGAAGAAGCTTTGGCTCACATAAGAGATGCAGAAAAATGGTAAGTAGTTATGCATAAATGATAGTTAAGGAATTTTTATAAGTAAATAATGTTTGCATTATCAAACATGTTTTTTCTGTTCATTGCACATATGATTTGGCAGCATTGTATTTTTTAACACAGCTTAAGTGGAGAGAGTACATATCGTAAAATGGGGTAACTTAGACCACTTTTTTATAAATGATGCCATTTTTTTACTAGCTAAATTAAACTTGAATTGAAACATGCAATATACAGGTCTATACTCTAGCTTCACTCACCATAAATTGCTGGCTCCTGCCTCTCATAGTCTTTATGTAATTTCAAAAAAAGTGATGGTCTTTGTTACCCCAGCTCTTGGGGTAACTTTGACCGGGTGGTAAAATCAATTATATTTTTTGGTAAAATAGCTCCAAATAACTCCAGGTTTTGGTGCATTGTAGTAGAACTCTTCTAGTTACATATGCAAATGACAAACTTGAGGAAAGTGTCATAGTTTGCAAATGGGGGGTGCCACCCCATAATGAGGGAAATGTAACTACCTAAAGGCAGCCCTGATGGGGTAATATTGACTGGCTTGGAAATTAAGTTAAAATTACCATATATAAGTAAAAATTGGAGGGGGTACTCTGACAGGCTTTAAATAATAGCTTTTTTTCGTGGGTCACATTTTTAATTTTTTAACCTATTAGATATGCAAACTTTTTAAATCTTTCAATTGTGTTATGTAGCCTCAGTATTAGGCCTTTAATGCCCATTGATAAAATTTTTCTATTTCAAATAGTTTTTGAGTTGTGGGGGTTTTTGTTAAAAAAACGAAAAGTGGTCTAAGTTACCCCGCCGGTCTAAGTTACCCCATTTTACGGTATTTAACACGTTGACTACGATTGCTTCATCTTGTACAATTATTTCATTTTTTGTACTTTTTTTAAGCAGGGTTGCCAGACGGTCATTTTTTCCGGACAAATTCCGTGATTTAGTTTTCCTCAATTGCGTTGGCCGGCTAAAATTTATGATAGGGGTACTTCCTAATTAAATTTTAAATACTTCAAAAAGAAAATAAATGGAATTTTTATAGCGGAACCTACAAATAAACTAGTATACATTGAATTATCTGCCTTTTTTGGCCTCTCTTGTCCTCGGATTTGGCCGATTTTAGGCAACCTGAATTATGTACCACTACGTCCTGGAGAAATACATTTCGTGGTACGCATATGTACCAATACGTAGTCAACGTGTTAATTAGTGATATAGGTACATCATCACATATTACATTTTTACATAGAATATAGGTTAAATGATAACTAACTGGAGCAAGGTTGTGTAACATTCTATACCCATGCATTTTCACCAAGTTCATTTTTTTGGGGTACTTATGAAAAAGAAATTCACATTATAATATTATGCTGTGTTTAACCAGAGTCCAGGGAGATGTTTTCACTTTGTTCATAGTCCTGCACCCAAGTGCCCAGTCTCCAAACCATTCATTATGACTCTTTTAAGGCAAGATTTATTTATATGGTCCTTCTAAATGTCTTGACAAATAATACATGAAATGATTAACTTGATTCAAATTATCTCAAAGATTACCTACTGCACAACCTGTAAACAAGGAGATAAACCTGCAACTTAAACCTGGCTTCATTGCTGCATGTGCAGAATTTTTTTTTCAAAAAATTCCTTGCATTATATATGCTTGTTTTTTTATAGATATCTATTTAAAGTTTTATCATAATGTGGAATGTAATTTCTATGATTTGAATTACGCATAATCATCAGAATTTAAAATTAGGGTAATAATTCTGTGGTGTTTAATTTTATTTGTTATTCTGATAATCTTTGAATTTTTGTCTCCAATTAATCAGTAAAATATTCTTAAATTCACAACAAATTCCTTTCCCTTTTTACTAGTTACAAGAGTAAATCCATGTTACACTAAAATTTTATAAACATGTTTATTAGGGGAAATTTTCCTTAGAATAACTCCTAGTCTGATAAATAAAATTAAAATAATCAGTTGAATGGTTTGCTGAAAAGATAGAAATCTGCAGTTTCCATCTTTTCCCTGTTGTTTATTCCATTTTATTAATTGGAATTATTAATTTAATTAAATTTTAGCAATGGAATCTTCCAATTATTAATTTGTAGATTTGATTCAAAATCACTGGCATGCTAATTGATGAGATCGGTAAATACAATTTATCTTAGATATGTAAATAAATACCTTGATAAACTGTCATTTTTTGTAGGTACTGTATTGGAGCATAAATTTTTACAAACATAAAGAATCCTTGATTATTTTCTGTAACTTTTTCACAGTTTGAAGACTGGTTTGCTGAAGTGGAATCCAGACTATGATGAAGCAGCTGACTATTACAACAAAGCAGGTATGTTATTTACCAATTTAATCTGCTCATCTTGGGTCTGTATTAAAATAACTTTGGACATTTAATATCTAACTGGAAGTTAGTACAATTATTAATAGGGGAAATGCAAGTTAGTTTAGCTACCTACATTTCAAGTTTGTGATATGAAGAACATGCAATGGTCTTAAGAGATGATTTGAATTTCTGGATTAAAATGAAACTTGATTTGAAGAAAAAATTCAAAATTCATTCTTCATAAAGCTTCAGGTGGAAGTATTTTCTGGCGCAGAAATTCTTTAACAAGTTTCTTGAGTTAAAACTTCAAAATTTATCAAGCATGGACTTCAGGTTGTAATTACATACTTTTGTCAGTGGCACATATTTGCAAGATTTTGACCAAGACAGTTTTATTTGTAATTACCTATATATCCTCTTTGTTATTTGTATTCACATGGAAAAGTTTTGGTTAAAATTTTTCAATATTATGTTTCCAGACACTTAGAATAAAATACTCTATGGCTAATAAGACTTGGCTATTTTGACTTGAATATAGTCCGATTTTATGACTTTATTATTAATAATAGCATTAGAATACCATACTATCCTACAATTTGTGATTGAATGAATATATTGGCTAGTATTATGGTTTGGCAATGAAGTTGCCAAAGAACTCGAACATGCAAGGAAAATCATTCAATAAAAGTTTCAAGTGAGAATTGGAGAGAAACAATTTTTTTTGTCCTAAAAGAAAAATTGAACGGCCTGACATTCAAATACTACTTCAATTTTTAAATAACTGAATTTTAACAATAATATAATACGTGTGGTAAAACATTTCCTCTTCACACTGCCAAAATGTGACTAGCAGATTATAATATACAGTAGTAGGTATATTCAAGTTGCTTTGTTGTAGGAGTTGTACTACTTTGCTTTAAAATATAAAGGAGTGATTAAATTCCTTTTGCAGCTGTATGCTACAAAGCAGCGAGGCAACATCCACAATGTGTTCAGTGCTACATCAAAGCATCGGACAATTACCGCATCTGCAGATCGTATCCTTTACTGTGTATTACTCGGCTTCTTGTCTGCTGCTGCCTCAGTAGCGGCAACAAACCTATTTATCGTATATCAAAAATTGTATTTGTAGCTGCTACTGTAAAATAGGGTGACACAGACCATTGATGGGGTGACTTGAACCGTTTTTGATATTAAGAAAAGAAAACCTTTTAACTCAAAAAGTTCTTGCCTTTGAAAAATTGTTTTGGTGGCTCTTGAAGTACCATAAAATAACCTACAAATGTAATAAAGATTCATTACATATATTTACTATGATACTATTTAAGTGCTAAAAGTGGTCCAAGTCACCCTGTTTTATGGTAGTTACTACTTTTTTTGTGGCTACGGTACTCCAAGCACAGTGGCTGGTGTTTGGAATTGAATATATTGAATTTATATTATTTTGGACGTCATGGTGTTGAAGTTGTTATAATTAATGTCATTAATTCATTCCTAATCACCCAAGTTAGGAGGCAGCTCATATAGTGCTGACTAGCATTCTAGGTGATAAGGGTTATTTAAATAGTACCCACAGAAATTTGTTCTGTTCATCTTTCTTAACCAATCCTCAGATATTTCGCTGCTGCCAAGTAAGTACGGTACTGTAGTCTACTACCTACTGTTCATTTAGTTCATTTGTAGTGATGCATCAAGATAAATTTAGCTTGACCTTCACTTGATTAGTATAATAATTAAAATTGTACTTATTAAAAAATAGAGAGGGATTTCTCATAAATTCACAATTTCCTTACCATATTTATTTTTCATAAAATTTATGTCTTTTTTAAATGCAACTTTTATTTTACCATTTTTTATTTATTTTACCATTCTCTTTCTTAGAGGCTAGTATTGAAGGATTTTTTCATGACACAGTGCTTCCTTGAACAGTTTTTACTCTCATGGGAACACTTGTCAGTGTTCATCATACTATCATACTATTGTGCTGTTAGCAGAACTACACTTGTGTAGTGATAGGATTGGACTGACTTGGAATTCATTCAATACTGAACTTGGTTCCTAGACAATAATAGCCAGACTATGTGACTCAATTAGTGTCAGTTCCCAGAGTTTTGTATGATGAACTATTGTCTGCAGAGCACTGGAGAATGCTTCACTAATCAGCAAAGAGATGGGGGAACTAGATAGTGTGGCTGGACTAGTGTCTGTTTCCACAGTTATAATGAACTATTGTCTGCAGAGCACTGGAGAATGCATCACTAATCAGCAAAGAGATGGGGGAACAGGATAGTGTGAAAATTAGATCTGTTCTCTGAGTTACATATAATGAACTGTTGTCTGCAGAGCACTGGAGAATGCATCACTAATCAGCAAAGAGATGGGGGAACTAGATAGTGTAGCACAACTAGCAGAGCGAGCATGCAAGCTGTACCGCGACAACGGCACCGTAGACACGGCTGCCATGGTGCTGGACAAGGCAGCCAAGATCATCGAGGGTACACGACCACAGCGTGCGGTTGACCTCTACAAGCAAGCTGTTGATATTGCTTTGGTGAGTTGAGAAGTTTGTGGAGATTTGTTTCATAATCAAGTAATATCCATTTCCTTAATGCAATAGAATTTCATCAGTATTCTATTAACTAGTATGTCTGTCAGCGTGCCGTTGACCTCTACAAGCAAGCTGTTGATATTGCTTTGGTGAGGAATGTGTGTGTTATGGTGAGGATTGTGGAGATTTGTTTCATAATCAAGCAATATCAGTTCATTCTCTTAATGCAATAGGATTTCTTCAGTATTCTATTAACTGTTATGCCTGCATGTCAGCGTGCGGTAGACCTCTACAAGCAAGCTGTTGATATTGCTTTGGTGATGATTGTATGCGTTATTGAGGAGGTTGTGGAGATTTGTGTCATAATCAATTAATAAATTTAAAATAATCAATATAATTTGTGTCATAATCAAGCAATAGCAATTCTCTTCCTGCAATAGAATTTCGACAGTAACTATTCAACTACTAAATGTTATGTCTGTCATATTTTTTTATTTTGTGGTGCATTTCTTCACTCATCTCATTAGTTCATTTTGTGAAGACAATTCTAAAAAATATAACTCAGTACTCACTGCAGTGAGTGACGGAGAGCGCATTTTCTTGTCGACGAAAACATGAAGTCACGGACGGACAGACGGACATGGCGAGCACAATAGTGCATTTTTTCCATAAATGAGAAAATGCGCTAAAAAGATGTAGAAGTGTGACACTGCCACATCAATAATTATTTCATTTCTTTCCAAATTGTTAAAGTTTATCATTACTGTATTGTGGAGCATTGTTGTAAAATATTCTTAACCGTGCAGTGTGAGGCACAGCCCCGCAGAGCTGCCGAGTATCAGAGCAAGCTGTGTCGTCTTTATGTGCGGCAGCACATGTGAGTGTTACTAGCTAAGTTAATATATTTACTAGTTAAATTAATACTATACTTACTTGTTAAATTAATATACTTACTAGTTAAATCAATACTATACTTACTAGTTAAATTAATATACTTAATGGCTCTTTGGTGAATGGTATGTACAATAATATTTTACTGTCTATTCCTCTGGGAACAATAGCTTAGTTTATTGCGTACATAATTTTTAGAATGGTTTTGAGTTTTTTACTGTCTATTCCTCTGGGAACAATTACTTAATTTATCAAGTACAAAAATTTTTAGAAGTGTTTTGACTTTTTTATTTTCATTGGTTTGAATTATTATCACTTATTTTCTCAAAGTTAAAAGGATGTAGTATATAGGAATTTGGTAGAGTGTAAATTGTGCATCACTGACCTCCTTATGTAGTTTCAAGTTTCTTTATGGAACCTGGGGCAAGTTTAAAGGTGGAAAAAGAAACGCATTCATATTCAAGACAGGTGAAGGTAAAAAGGGAAATTTCTTTTGCCAGATTTGCTAAGTTAACATCTGAAAATATTTTACAGAATTCACTAAAAACATTCACCACAGTAGAATTTAACATTTTTCAACTATTCAAATTCATATTTTAATTTTTCAAATTATGTAAGTAATGATGGTGAATATATTTATACTGTCAAATTCAAAAATTTCGATTGTATTAATAAAAATTATGACCTTACATAATTCTTCCCTCCATTTTTATGGAACTTCTTTAGTTTTTCATATACGTAATATTTATGTAGGTTTTCTTTATTGGTTTGCACTTCTCCCGATAAATTGCTTTTCTAAATAATGGAATTTGTTTGCAATGCAAGCTTTCTCACTTAATATATTTAATTTGTGTTCTAACTTCTAGGAATATTGCGTACGTACTGACTATAATCATTCTTATTAAACTCTGGATGAAAGATATTGGATACCAAATTTGCTACATTTTTGCAGGTTAATTGAGGCTGCTGAAGCCATCAGAACAAACATCACCTTCTTCAGGGATGGTGACTTCACTGGTGAGTGATGATGTTTCTGCATGCGTGATGGTGACTTCCCTGGTGATTAATGATGGCCATGATTGTGCCGGTGACTTCCCTGATGCTCTACTTAACTATTGTGATGGTGAATTATTGTGATTAATTGAGCTCTCCTGTATGATTGTGTTTGTTTATAGCCGAGTTGAAATATAACTGAAAAATATTTGCTTAGTTACACTCTATTCTCTGGAAGTAGCAACAAGACTTTTTAAGTAGCTATAAGTGACATGACTAACTTAATTTTTGAGTAGCTATAAAGTATGACTAATTTTGAAAAAATTTTAACATTGCTTGAGGTTGCTCTGTGAATTATTAAACTAATTTGCTTATTGATGTAAAATTTCATTTCCTCAAGTCATGAGATGTCAGTGCATTACAAATTTTGAAGTTTTCTATAGCGGAATCCTAATTTCCTTTATGAATTTACGCTTGTTAAACTAAGATTAAATTCAATCCAAAGCTACTAGAGTGAAAGGGAATTTACTTCTCAAAATTAAATTCAGGTTTATTAGAGTTATCCTGGAGATGAAGGTCATATTTTTTATCAAAGAATATTTTTGATCTCCATTGAAGTCTAGAAATTTTGTTGGTACTGATTTAATGATCAAAATTAAACTGTAGGAGGATGATTTAAATTTATTTTCCCTCATTAAAACTCATCCTTCAACCCGACTGGCCACTGTGGAAAACTTGTGCCTATATTGATCGATTGAATTATTGTTTAAGGATATTTTCAGCTGTGGACTGATGAATAAAATCAGGTTTTGATCTTCAAAAATAAAATTGAAGTTTATTTACAGATCCCATCAGCAGGGAAGTGGTTGCGCTGGTGCTTGTATGTGATGAATAAAATCAGGTTTTGATTTTTAGAATTTATTTATTAAAGTTTATTTGTACATGCTTGTGCTTGTACATGATGAATAAAATCAGGTTTTGATTTTTAGAATTTATTTATTAAAGTTTATTTGTACATGCTTGTGCTTGTACATGATAAATAAAATCAGGTTTTGGTTTGTTAGAATTTATTTAAAGTTTATTTACAGACCCCATCAGCAGGGAAGTGGTTGCGCTGGTGCTTGTACAGATCGCCCGAGGAGACCACATCGCTGGGGAGAAGGCCCTCAAGGAGTGGGGAGCTTACGTCACTCCTGAAGAGGTGATGCTTGGTTACGTTTTATGTTAAGAAATTAAATTATATTAAGCAGGGTTCGGAAATTTTCAATTATTATATTAGGCTGGGTTCAGAAATTTCAAATTATTGTATTAGGCAGGGTTCATAAATTTTAAAATTATTATATTAGGCAGGGTTGAGAAATTTAAAATTATTATATTAAGCAGAGTTAGGAAATTATAAATTATTAAACTAGGCAGGGTTGAAAATTTTCAAATAATTATATTAGGCAGGGTTGAGAAATTTTTATTATTATACTAGGCAGGGTTCAAAATTTTCAAATAATTATATTAGACAGGGTTCAGAAATTTCAAATAATTATATTAAACAGGGTTGAGAATTTTTTTAATTATTATATAAGGCAGGGAGCAGTGAGTTGTATGCACCAGACCGGCAACATGCTCTGAAAGTTCTGTGATGTTGTAAATCAGACATTGTGGTAATGGTGGCCTCAGCCTTGATGAGGCCATCAGACATTGTGGTAATAGTGGCCTCAGCCTTGATGAGGCCATCAGACATTGTGGTAATGGTGGCCTCAGCCTTGATGAGGCCATCAGACATTGTGGTAATGGTGGCCTCAGCCTNCTGTCTCTTATACACATCTAGATGTGTATAAGAGACAGCCTTACCACCTGTCCCCCCAGATGGCCACCCTGACCACCTGTCCCCCAGATGACCACCCTGACCACCTGTCCTCCCCAGATGGCCACCCTGTCCGCCCTGCTGGAGGCGTTCGACGAGCAGGACGGGGAGGCGGCGCGTCGTCTGCTGCGCGCTCCATTCATTCGCTCCATGGACGTCGAGTACTCCAAGCTTGCCCGCGACATGGACACTCCTGCCTCCAAGGTACCTGCTCCAGCTGCTCTTTATTTATTTATTATATCTATACATATTGTATTTATTTATTTGCATATAGATATTGTATGTATTTATTTATTTATATATAAATGTTGTATTTATTTATTTGTATATAAGTATTATATTTATTTATTTGTATGTAAATGTTGTATTTATTTATTTATTTGTATATAAATATTGTATTTATTTATTTATATTAATTTGTAATTACTTATGGTGGTATTTGTGTGATTAAGTCAAATTTCGCCTGATATAATCAAGCTGTATTTCTTATGTCTCAAGGTTGACTTTGAATAGTGTACGTATTATATATCTATATTATTTATTAAGTTAGTAATGGCAATTATTAATCTGATATAAATTCAAATTCCGTCTAATATTATCAGGCTGTATTTGTTGTGCCTCAAGGTAGACTGGGGCTTGTGCTGAAAGCGCGCCGTGTTGAGAAATCATTTTTTTTTTTTTTTAGGATGCATGAGAAGTGATTATCAATTTAGTGAACTTATGGTAATCTTTTTCGATAGTGAGACCTGCTATTACAAAATAAATAGCCAATATTACATAATAAATAGGCTATAATTGCGACTGTCATTACTACCAAAGTATATTAAGCAATTGTGTTTTTTGTTGCAGTCAGCTGTATGACATCATGCAGAGAGTAATTTTTTCCTATAATTTTAGATACTGTTATCTCCTTTGTGAATGAATTAAGCAATTAATACATGATTGATGATATTACAGAAGGAAGAAGCGAGGAACGGAGAGGAAGGCTTGGAAGGCAGCAGCGGCGCTCAGGTGAATGAGTGTTCTTAGGTTGTTCATTAGGCTGAACTGTTATTTAGGTTCATGTTTCTTCATTACATCTAGGGTTACTCTTTTCGTATTTTCCTATTTATTTTGCTTTTGATTTCTTTCCTCGTAATTTTTTATAGGAGCTTTCTCCATTGCAGTACAGTATTTTACTTTGCCGGTTCATTAGACAGAACTGTTATTTAGTTCTTGTTTCTTCATTACATCTAGGGTTGCTCTATTCATGGTTGAACTAGTATAAGGTTGACCCATGAGAAGCTCATTTTTGCGGATGTAGTTCGTCGTTCGCCAGTGACGTCACTGATCTCAGTGACGTCACGGACATTAACCAATCACTGAAATGCTATAAAACCAGTCAACCAATCCGTTTAGGAATGACGGGTTTGTTTACGTTTCTCGTTCTCGGTAACGTAACAAGAAAGCTTGACTGAAAAACTGAAATCCTCGTGGGTCAACCTTGTATAGATCAACCATGACTCTATTCGTCCTTTCCTCTTTATTTTGCTTTTGATTTCTTTCCTCATATTTTTTCTTATGAGCTTTCTCCATTGCAGTATTTTATGGTGCCAGTTTCCCTCCTGAAAAGTTCGTTCTTTCAATTTCATCATTCTAGTTTCTGCTATGTAATTATTTCTTTTCCAATTTCTAACTTGTAATTTTTTTCTCTTGCAATTTTCATTTTATAATTTCAATCTAATATTTTTATGTATCAATTTATCCCTTCAATTATTCTGTTGCAATACATGAAAAATGAGAGCTTGCTTGCTCTTGCTTTGTTGATTCTGTAATCTTATCTGTACAATAAATCTATTTTATTTTTTCGATGCAAAATTACCATCTAATGCCGCATAATTTTGGTTATGCCTCTGTTTCTTGTTCTTTGCTATTATCTAATTACCTTATCTGTTTATTCAGACCACGTTATTACTTTAACGTGATTATCACGTTTGTATTACTCACGTTATTACCTTATCAATTACGTCCAGCATTGAATGACTTGTATTCGTATTGTGCAGGGAGGAGACGAGGAGGAGCTGGACTTGTGTTGAGGGGTGAACTAGTGACCACTTCCATGACAAGGCTTATAATAATATACTTTATAGGTATCAATACTTCAGCATTTCTTCACCTACTCCGGGAACCCTTACTTCAACATTTCTTCGCCTGCTCCCGGACCCCTACGTACTTCAAAATTTCTTTGCCTGCTTCCGGACCCCTACGTACTTCAAAATTTCTTTGCCTGCTTCCGGACCCCTACGTACTTCAAAATTTCTTCACCTACTTTGGGAACCCTACTTAAATATTTTTCACCTACTCCTGGACCCATGCTTCAAAATTTATTCACCGACTTCAACACTCCCTTCCGTTTCAATAGTCTCCTAATAATCTGGTGCCCCGTTGAACAAGCCTCCAAGTTCTAGGTCCGGTCACTTCCGAATTTCTGCGGCGACAAGAAAGAAAAACATTCCAAATCCAACAAGTCTCTGGCCGTATTTCTGTCCTCGGTGTCCATAGATCGTTAGCAGCTTTAAATATCGAAATTTCGCAATTATTCCGAGATTTTGGCAATCCTTTTTCAAGATTTTTGCAACGTTCCTGGACTGTGATTTCCAGTTCCGTTTAGAAATCACCAGTTCCTAATTCATTGTTTTAGGAAGTAAATTGGCGCGAGCCATGAATTCGGATTAGCTGTTAAACGTTAAAGATAATCATGTGGAACGTATTAGTTTGAATGGGCTCTTCTTTTGTATAATTGAATCTGGGAGTATTTATTAAACACTTAGTATGTCGTGGTTGTGAATTAAAGAATGTTCAAATATGGACAAAGTTATCGAATTATATTGATTATTTTCAGAATCTACGGTTTTTCAAAGTTGCCATCAGGGACTGAGTAACAGGTTCCTTTTACCATAAAAAGTTTTACTATATTCAGCAGTCCGTATTGACAACCAAACTAGCCGCTTTTGATGCGAAGAGAAAGCTTGGCTTCTTAGTAAATTCTTCCGTGTCAAGCATTCAGTGAAAAACCAAATGCCCTCGTGTCAAATTCTACACTTAGAAGTAAAAATGGCTCGAATTTAATAGCGGTGTGATCTGGTTGAATCCATGAACAACTATGTATTTATTTGGCTGCTAACTACCCATGTTGTTTAATTTTGACTCTAGCGAAGTTATTCCAACGTTATCCTGCTAATTATAATTAACCGTATTATCTAGTCAGTGGTGTAAATATCTAGCTCTTAATTCGTTATATTTGTCCTGTAAATGTTAATTCTTGTGATAGAATATTAATTTTAGCGTATAAGTCAGAACCGTCACTGTCACTTTATCCGAAGTTGCTTGTATATTAATACTGGCAGAATATTGAATGAAAACGCCAGTAAAAATATACGTTTTTTTTCTTAGGCTTTATTGTAATATTGGAATTTTGTTGGTGTTGGTGACATTTAATGTGCATCGTATGTGTAGCACTAATCCATATCAAAAAGGGCCGAACAGGTGTGAGGTACTCTCATATAAATGACCTCTCCTGAATACTGTTCCATAGCTATACTGTTACTGTTAAAGAAAATATAAAATATAACTGTCGTCCGGTAATATTAATTTCATTTTCTGCTATATCTTTAAAAAATTAACTTGATCGAGTGTCTTACTACATTCACACTCAGCTCTTGTACGGGAATCTGAATTAAATATGAGTAACGTTATTTAATTGACTCGACGTTCCAACGGTGTAAATACATATTACATGAGCGCTTTTTAGTGTTGAAATTACGTGAATTTGAACAACGCGAAAACTTGCATTTTGGAGCCAAGCATTTAGGATTGAACTTGCAGAAATATTGTCCAAGCTTAGTAAGTTCGTGAATGAGCGTTGCATCCCTTATTCCAGTGCGTGAATGAATGTTACTTCATTCATCATCAGACAGTTTTCAATTCGACATTAAATTGAGAGTTTTAGACATTAAATTGTCAATTAGACATGACGCAGGAAAATTCTTATATCCTCGAGAGTTTTAACCTTTCATGCATCGCTTTCTCGGCAAAGTTTGTTATCTATAGACACCAACATTAATGTGAGTGAACAGGATTAGACTTATTAGGCTTCGACTTCTTCATCTTTCTGCTATGATTGTTGTGAATGGCCTGCGGTCATTCTCAGTGAGGATTTAAGTTGCCTGTAGTGAAAAATGTTCACGAATAAAATATTATGAGCAATAATGTCTTTCACCCTAATCTTTATGAGCAATTTCACTCAAAAGAAAAAAAAAGACGAGTCATTTTTTCGACGAAAATATATATAGAATTCAACTCTCCTCAAGAACAAACCAACCTGTGAATTCAAAATTAAGAACTAATGCTTGATAGCCTTGGCACCCCTTAAACTATAACGGTCCATTTTAGACCGGTCAGGTCATGCTTGCTCGGAGGAGGGCGGTGGAAAGATCTGGAGAGGGGGGGGGGCAGTGAGGAAGAAAGGGGCAGTAGGGGGGCGGCAGTCCGCGAAGTCGAAGTCAGAAGTTCGTACGTTTGTTTGACGATTTGTACACAACACGTATAGAACATGACTCCGACTCGAATAAATTTTCACGAGCTAAAAATCACTGTTTGGCAGTTTGGAATTTTTCTACAAAATTTCGTTCGAATCTGATCAGTAGTTTGGAAGAAATTCTTTGATCACTGCGAATTTCGGCCCTTATCGCCATATAACTCCCGAATAAGGCGGAATATAAAAATTTTCACGAGCTAAACATCACCGTTAAGTCCTAATGAATACTTGTTCCAAGTTTTATCGAGCTGCTTCCATTAGTTTGGGAGATATTCCTTGATCACTGACTGAATTTGGAGATTGGCCGTGGGACCGGCTGCGAGACCGGCCACGAGTCCTGCCGTCTCGTACGAATTTGCGGCCGGACCCGCGGCCGGTCTCGCGTGGAGCGCGGCCGCAAGACCGGCTGCGGGTCCGGCCGTAAATTCGTCCGAGACGTCGAGTCCTGCCGTAAATATGTCCGAGCCGTCTTGAATTTCTAGTGCTGAAACAGTTATAACTGTAAAAAAAATATATTGGTATACTAAATGGGGCTTTATTTGTGAAATATACACTTGTGTTTAATCTTTCTCTTTTAAAATTGCGGCATACTATATATCAAGAAAAAGGTGTTTGTTTCTATAAGTGTGTGTCGAGGAGGGGAGCGCTAGAGATTCACTGGGGAGCCAATGGAGGCGCCAGCCTGAAAAAGTTTGGGAGCCACTGCTCAAGACCGGTCAGGCCTTGCTTGCTCAACCCGTTAGTCTACATAGGCTAACATAACCTCGCATTGACCTGCCAGAAGTGCTTGTTTAGTGACCGCAACTTGAGCTGCCGAGCTCCTCTGTGATATGTTGTCGCATACAGTTCATCGGGCCTTGGCTCTCATCTTGTTATTTCTCCAGTGCAGAGGTTCGTTTAGTACACTTATTCTCTTCAGGGTATTTAATAGTCATGCTCACGGTATTTAATAGCCATGCTCAGATTATTTTATAGCTATGCCCAGGGTATTTAATAGCGGATTACAGCTTGTTGCGGATCTCGAACCCGCACCTTTCTGCTCCAATCCATGGTACTTTGAACTGTAACAACTGGGCCACCCTGTGGGCCAGGGATGATAACCGCTCTCTGTATGTATTTTTTTTAATTTAGTCAAAGTGCGCTCGGCGCCTTTAAAAACATCGAATGTCAGTGGTTTCCCCACTTTCCTTGAGCTTTCATTCTTTTGAACAAATGGGACTTTAACGCCCCATCTGACCAGAACACTCCAGGAAAAAAAAAAACACTTGAAGTTAATTTATATCTCACCAACTACCTTCGTAATTTAAACAAATGGAAATCAATAATATTTAAAGGTTCAGGAGCATATTTTGCACCTGAACCTTAAAGCGATGTGTTTAATAGAAGCGATGTGTTTAATAAAAGCGATGTTTCTACCCCTTCCCTATTTAAATAAATGTACATTCATGCTTGTCCGCATACCCGAGAAAATACATACAAGCAAATTATAGCCAGTTGCAGGAATGTCCGGCATCAAATATCGGTCGAGATTTTTTAATAGCCTGTTTAAACCAGGTTCAGTTTGATGAAACCAGTCAGGTTTCATCAAACGGAACTTTTAATATATGTATTGAAGCTTATATCGCGCGCTGCAGACAGGTACGACGAAAGCTTCAAAACGGGTCACTATAGTAAAGGGGCCTAACCGGGCACTACCTATACTAAACTTGCCTAACCGGGCACTATATTAAGTTGAGCCTTATCTATGTCATGTTTCCATGAAATTTCCTAAAGAAACCCATCTTTCTTTGTACAACAAAATTTAGTTGCTTCGGTTCACTAGAATCTTGCTAAAGACTTTTTAAAGGAATGTTCTACGTCTGATCTTTCTCGCAGTGACGGCGTAGCATAAGACGATATTACAAGGGAAATATAGCACTCAGTGTTACGACCAACATTGTCCTATTATTTAATGAAAACAGTGCGGCGAGTGCACTGGAAATGCCTGATAATTTACTAACTCTGCAGGGTGGCCGTGGGATAAATGTCACCAAGATTGACTCAGTGAACTAAACATTGTTCTACGTACATTAATTATATTAATTACAGTGAATTATATTTATTATTTTTTTCAGATGGCTTAAGCTGCGCGGTCCCTCCTATCGAAGGCGAAGTGTCGGAGTGGGAAGAAGATTCTCGTTTAATTATGTTTAGCCTCAGAAATGAAGTGTCCTTGAGAAACCGAAGCAGCTGTGAAGCCGGCAACCCTCAACCACCCGAAAGAGTTGACACAACCAAAAGGTGGATATTATTTTGAAATTAATCGCCCTAGCCTTATTGTCGCTTTAATATCATCCTCGCTTTATTGTCGCTTTACTATCATCCTCGCTTTATTGTCGCTTTATCATCCTCGCCTTAATGTCGCTTTATTAGCATCCTCGCTTTACTGTCGCTTTAATATCATCCTCGCTTTATTGTCGCTTTATTATCCTCGCCTTAATGTCGCTTTAATATCATCCTCGCTTTACCGTCGCTTTAATATCATCCTCGCTTTATTGTCCAAAGTTCGGCACGTGAAGCCTGGTAGCACTGCACTCAAAAAATGAGTGAGTCATGTTATCCTAAATCTTTTAATTAAATAATGGTAACACTTTTCACTCTTAGCACTGATACACCCTTCTATCAGAGGCAAGCAGGGTCAGAGTGACCCACACAAGGCAAGAAGTGGATCGCTATTTGGACTCAGTCTCACTCATTTTCCTGAGTGTGCTTGCACAACTGATGTCCAGAACAAGGACACGAGGTTGAAACTTGGTTTATATATATAGCGGTTTCAGCGTTTATTAGGCCCTAGGCCTGCCACCGATTCTTAACAGTGCAGAACATCCACCTCATGTTGCGGACTTGAACTCGCATCTCACTGCTTCAATTTTGCTTTGCTTAACCGCCCGGCCTCCTTACCGATTCTGACCAGAAACAGGCGCACAGAGCTGGGATCAAACCCGCACCTCTCTATTGTAATCCTGGTACTCTGAACTTTAACCACTGGACCACCCACCCTGGTTTAACTGCCGTCACAATACTAAAGCAACTGTGCTTTTGCATCGAGGTTATCAATTAGTAAGCTATTTAATGGAAATAAATCTAATGAAGGAATTTCAAGGGATTGCACGCCCTGACATGAGATTATGCCAGTAATTAGTTGCTTTTCAAGCGCCTCTATCTTACTCATGATTCTGTTGAGAGCTTCATTGCGTAAATGTACTTTGTACTAATTCGTCTCTCTTAATTTCAAAGTACGTTTGCCTGTATTACTCAAGTTTGTTAAAATTCTCGAAGATTACCTAGCATAATCTGTCAATGACACCCGAGTCGCCACTCAGCAAATGCAGCACTTACCTTGCCACCTGTCACTAAAAACAGTATAATACTGGTCAGAACTGCCGAACTGCTCAGTGGTGTGATTTTATTTATAAAATTTATTGTTTCTTTTGAAGACCGGCGACATAAGTGCATTGATTAACGTCGTTATCGGCATTGATAATTGATCGCATGCATAATATAATCACATGGTACATTAGGCTCGCTTTTTGTTGCATTTTTAGCAATGTAATATATAATTATAAATTATAATAAATTATGATAATTTTCGTTTACTTATTATTTTTTTAAATATTATATTATTTATTGCTATATTATAATTGTATTATTATATACCAGAGTATAAAAGATTTTTTTAATAAATTATTATTTATATCGCCGAAGAGTCGCCGCCCTCATCGCTGAGCTGGAACGACATGGTCTGGACGCCTACATCGTCACGAGCGACGATGCGCACCTGGTATGACATGGCTGTTCTTGATAGTAACTTGTGGTGGTCGTAACTTGTGGTGGTCGTAACTTGTGGTGGTCGTAACTTGTGGTGGTCGTAACTTGTGGTGGTCGTAACTAAAAGTGCCACTCAAGGCACCCGTTAAATTTCATGTCTCATAACTTACAAGTTCAATAGTCTTGCAAAATGAATAGTCTTAACTAATGATGGTAGCAACTTACTTATGTTGGTCGTAAGTAATTAAAGGTGATAATAAATTTCTGTTCTTAACGACAGTCATAAATTGTGCAACCGATGTTGGTCGCAATAATATCAGCAGCTGTAGCAACATTGCCAGCGACAATGATAGCAATAAAGATGACCAAAAAATTTATAATCTATAAATCGCAGGTGGGAAATATATCCCATGCATGAATGAGACCATCAATATGTATTTAGAGCCTGAGATAACTATATGTAGTCTGCCCAGAACATGAACAGTCTACAGGAACATAAAATTGGCAGCGAGCTCGGCTAACCTGATACCATGGTTTCAATTCTCACTCCTGATACACCTTTGACTCATACTACCAATAACATTCTCATATGTTATCTGAAAAAATAACATTTAAAAAAAATAACAACATTCTCATCTGATCTTTTCACTAAAAGATCAGACACTGGCCAAGGCGTAGTGACGATAAACGTTCGATTGATTGCAACAATGAAACTGTGTTGACAGAACTAATTTTGATGGTAATTATTTCAACCAACATAACATCTTATACAGTAGCAGTGTTGAAGCAATGATGTCGCAAGAAAACCAGCAATTATGAGAGCAATGTCGATGAGCGCATAACATCGGTCGATGTTGCTGGAGCCGATGTTATGCGCTGTCGGAATGTACGGCCGCCAGTAGAAGATTAGTTACATGTCATATACGTTAATATTTTCTCGATAAGAGTGGACAAAATATAAAAATTTTACAGTCGGAATATACGGCCACCCGTAGAACATTAATTACATGTCATTTGAGTTAATATTTTCATTATAAAAGTGGACAGAATATAAGAATTTTCCAGTCAGAGTACACGGCCGCCGCTGATGGCCGCCGCGCGTTCATCTCAGGCCAGGATGGCAGCGCCGGCACGGCCGTCGTCCTCCGTGATGGCCGCCGCGCGCTGTGGACCGACGGACGATATTTCTTGGCCGCCGACCGTCAGTTGGACTGCGAGTGGCTGCTCATGAAGGCCAGAGAACCCGGGGTGAGTAGGACTCAACCCTCGTTTCCTTCTTTCTGTTGTAGGGGCTCAACCCTCTTTTCTGTTGTAGGTGTAAAGTGCTAAATTCGCACCTCTTATATAAGGTTAACTTTGATTCGTGATTTTAATCATGCTGAATCCGAAAGAAAGAATGTATGACACTCGCAGCGTGTATATCACTCTGATGGCTGTATTGTTGATGTAGAAGAAAAATCCAGGCAGTAACATCTTGGGGCTAATACGTAATTTTATTTTAAAACTAATTGACCGTACATAAATCTAGTTTATTTATATTGTTCAGTTATATATCCAGTATTTGTGCGCTGCCTGACAGGTGCCAACGATGTCAGCATGGCTAGCACAGGAGCTGGCCGAGGGCAGCAAGGTGGGAGTAGACGCAGCTCTGATGGCTGCTACGTCTTATCTTGAACTCCAACTCAGGCTCAAAGGTGACAGTTTTGACCTTCGAACGTTCTAATCAACCCCTAAGTTAAATTGTATACAAATTAAAAATTTATTTGTATTGTTTTGCATTGAAGGTTTCCTAAACAAGGGAGTTTAAACATATTATGGCAGTACTAAATTACCTGGGATGAGGAACGCAGTTTCCATCATTCTTTCGCTCCCTGCAAGAATTTTTATGCTATTTCTTTTCCTCGGAAAGTTCCATACCAACTGAGGAGTCTTCGTAATCTTCTGTCACGGGTTTGCCTCTCCTTCGGTCTTTTGCCGGTAACGTGAAATCTTGCTACCCGCGTGGCGCTAGATTGAGAAAACAGATTATTCGAGGGGATTATATTGCTGCTTCGATTTCTAATTCAACAAAAAGTGGTAACTGGAAATTAGTGAGCAATAAATATTCGGCTTTTGCGATAGAAATTCGTTTATCCCGTTGTTTAAAGAAACTCTACCCTTCTCTTCTTTGTCGTGTCCCGCTCTGGAGCAATTCTGTTCAGCGTCCACTATAAATCTCACTCAAACCTGAACTGCGCTTGTACCACTAAATCACTTGCTGCTAATTTATCAGTGAAGGCAAAATGGAAAACCTCAACTAGGCTCACCCCATTTCCCTTACCCTACTTTTCACGTATCTCACCAAACGTCACGTAAGTCAGTGAGTGGCTTGTTGAGACAAACACTCTTGTGTTCAACAGCAGACGTCGTTAGCTGGATCACATGGACTATTGCCCCAGTGAGTCGACAGTTAACGCATTACGTGATAAAAGCTCTCCCTGGGCAGTAGCATCACGTCTATGAAAGGCCCGGGCACTTTAATAAGGCCCCCTTAGTAGCTTGCACGACCGCACCGATGTAGCACTCATTGTCGTCGGCCGGGCGGTTGCAATCTTAGCCGTTTACATGTATCTCTCTAATGATTGTTGTCTATCACCTCATATGAAGATAAATGTGCATTAACTTAATTACCCCTCACATTTAGTCATCGAATTCCTGTCTGCAGATTGAACATATAAAAGATATATAATTGTCAAGGAACGTCGGTTCGAAATTATATTTGGGGGTATGCTAATCAAATTCAAGTACGCAGGTTGCATTTATAAACTACAGTTAACGTTACAGGCTTAAAGTAGACAGGATACGAGGGAATATAATTGATAATGGTACAAAGTGACTATAAATAGGTAAGTGAACTCGTGGGGCAAGGTTCAGTCTTAATGATTCGACCTGCTCAAGATACGAGCCTAAATTAATATAGATGCAATTATATTGATTTGTCTTCAGTTAGTTCAATTTTATCAAGCATAAATGCAAACATCCATAGTTTTATCCTAAGCTACACAAAGACACAAATATTTCCCTACGCTTATATGCTCACCTGCTCAGTGTGGGAGAATAGGGTCGACAATTTTATTCAGGAGGCTCAGCACTGAGCAAAGTGACGGAATTGAAGAAAAAATCTATTACAGAAATGTGGATGGACCCCTCACAATAATTCTTGGTGGCAACTAAATATTGCTCTCGACCCGTATCGCCACCACAGTTGCACCACGTTTCATTCGTGCACAGAGTCGGGGCTGGAGCTGGTAGCGGAGAAGGTGAACCTCGTGGACGCGGTGTGGTCGCCGCAGGAGCGGCCGCCGCGAGTGAAGGACGACCTCTTTGTCCACGAGCTCTCCTTCGCCGGTGGGTATCGCATGCATAGTGCATGGAACTGATTAGATTTAATTATAAGTATATGATTGATCGTGCTTCATTCAATCATGAAAAGGGAATAGACATAATATATGATCATGATTCATGAATATCAAATTTGACAGATTACGTCTTACTTCGACTATCAAGTGTTAATGTATCCCTTGAATCCTGAAAGGAGCCAGTTCACTTATCAGTTCGGGATTGCGAGAAACTGGCACTTGACTTAGTTAGAAGCTGGATGAAGAAAAGTATTCCTTTATGTTTATAGACCTTAGAGCCGAAATGGAAAAGACTCCAGGGATGCGTTATAATAGACTAACAAGCACAAGTTCTTATGAGTTACGTCAAAAATACAACAGGAAATATAACCTTGAATGGTTCCGGATTACCAAGAACAAAGTTCTGGAGAATTACTATTTCAGTTAGTGAGAGCACTAACTAAATCTAACTGAGCACTAATCTAACAAAAAGTTAGAATCTTGTGGACGTTCGTCGGTCAACAGTCGTGGCTGTCAAACTCTGCAAGATCATGCAAGATTGAAGAGAAGTTTGTACGTGTATATCGGCTTTTAGAAGGACAAAAATGTAGTAGAGGGTTCAAAATCGGGAAATATGGATAATTCTAGGGTTAAAGAGCAATCTTATGAAGGAAGCTTAGAGCTTGAGAAGCCCCCAAGACTTTGCTCTCGACTTTAATTTGTTACTTTGTTAATCTCCATGGCGAAGTCGCTAAATTAAACAAGTATTCTCATTTGTTTTATAGGATTTCAGGATTGCTAGAAATTTAAACAGGAACAAACGCCGGGTACTACGGCAATACACTAAAAAACAATTCCTACTCGAGTCATTCATGCAACATTTGTTATCGTTTTGTGTCACGCCTCCCACCTCACAGATCTGGCAATAGCCCAGTAGCAACTTTGCTTCAACGTCAGTTTTGAGAAGATCTGGTCCAGACTCCAGAGGCTGGTTTTTAAATCTCATGTGAACAAGTCAAAAACATTACACGAACAGGCGACAGACCAAACTTGGCTTATCATTAAGCGACAAAAATACTTTGCTATACCTAATTTAAGTGACTAAAAGGACTGACAAACGATTGCACCCCTACTCTTCCACTGAATCACTATCACCATCAACTCATAAATATCCTTGCCCAGGGGTGGAGTGGACGATTTCACCTCTGCTCTCCCACTGAATCACCATCAACATCAACTCATTAATATCCTTGTCCAGGAGTGCAGTGGACGATTTCACCTCTTACTCTCCCCCTGAATCACCATCACCATCAACTCATAAATATCCTTGTCAAGGAGTGCAGTGGACGATTTCACCTCTTACTCTCCCCCTGAATCACCATCACCATCAACTCATAAATATCCTTGTCCAGGAGTGGAGTGGACGATTTCACCTCTACTCTCCCACTGAATCACCATCAACTCATAAATGTAGGAGTGCAGTGGACGATTTCACCTCTTACTCTCCCCCTGAATCACCATCACCATCAACTCATAAATATCCTTGTCCAGGAGTGGAGTGGACGATTTCACCTCTACTCTCCCACTGAATCACCATCAACTCATAAATGTCCTCTTGCAGGGGTGGAGTGGACGATTTCACCTCTTACTCTCCCACTGAATCCCCATCACCATCAACTCATTAATATCCTTGTCCCAGGGGCCGGACTATCAAAGCTTCGTAACTTTTTGTACTTACGACAAAAAAGTTCTGTGGTACGTAAATACACCCTAATTTTGGCATTATCAAAACTTTCGTACGCAAGTCTTAGCTAAAAGCCTAAATTTTTTTCCCGCGCCCATTTTTCTCGCGCAAATGTTTTTATAATACCACCGCTAGTATTACGTTGTCATAGCAACGCCACTCGTAAGTCGATTTTGCGTACTTACGAAGTTTTGATAATACGGCCCAGGGATGGAGTGGACGATTTCACCTCTACTCTCCCACTGAATCGCCATCACCATCAACTCATAAATGTCCTCCTGCAGGAGTGGAGTGGACGCACAAGGTGGCGCAGGTGCGGGAGGAGATGAAGAAGCAGGATGTGGACCTGCTGGTGGTGACGGCGCTCGACGAGGTCGCGTGGCTCCTCAACCTCCGCGGCAACGACATCCCCTACAACACAGGTGGGTGGGGACGGCTGGTTGTCCAACACAGGTGGGTGGGGTGGCAGGTGGTACAACAGAGGTATGGCAGGTGGCACAGGTGGGTGGGGGTGGCAGGTGGTACAACAAAGGCATGGCAGGTGGCACAGGTGGGCGGGGGTGGCAGGTGGTACAACACAGGTATGGCAGGTGGTACAACACAGATGGGTGGGGACGGCTGGTTTGTGGGGCGGCAACAAGTGGCACAGGTAAGGCAGGGGCTTCAGGAGTTTCTGGACGGCATGTGGTATGGGTTTTACTGAGTAAAGATGGCAATTTTAAACCGGAAGGGCTTTGCACCGTAAAAATACGCTGCCTAGAAGATCAGTTTACAAGAAAAACTCTGCCCTTTCCTCAGTAACCTTATCCGCTGGCTCTCATTCAGCCATGAACGCTGCTCGCAACGACCACCTTTCTCGACTGTGCGGAATACAACATACAGCATCCATGCCACGTTGCCGAAATTTATTCATTGAAAGAAAAGTGACAGGTGACATATATGTCCATCTGTTCAGAGCGCAGCCTGAAAATAAAGGCGGTTTGTTTGTCCAATTTAATGAAAGAGCTTCGTACACAAACAAAAAATATAACTCAGTACTCACTGCAGTGAGTGGCATAGAACACATTTTCTCGTCTGTCCGTCCCAAAAGTCACGGACAGACTGACGGATAGACAGACGGACGGACATGACGAGCACAATAGCGCCTTTTGTCCATAAATGAGAAAATTCGCTAAAAAACGGCATTCTGAATAGTGACATTTATGAACATCTAGACGTTAAAGGGTTAATTGTGCTGTAATAACTTGATCGGGTTCTTCACCAAGTCAGTTTAAAAAGAGTTTTCGTCGGAGTATTACTGAAGACTTTTTCCCACAAGTATTTATTCAAATACACAGATTATTTAGAGCACAGATGAATAATAGGTTGAAAATAACATAAGGGACACGCATCTCAATAGACGGGCGGCTATAAGTAACCCGTCGCACACACTATACCACCTTCGAGGTAATCTTCGGTCTTGACAATACATTATGGAAAACCCGCTATTTTGTTAGAAATAGTCCTTACGTTCAAGTTCGAAGGAGTTGAAAACCCGCTATTTTGTTAGAACTAGTGCTTACATGTACATTTAACTTACGTCTACCACGCGCAGTGTTCAGGAGCTACCTGCTGGTGGACCACAAGGACGTGACGTTGTTCATCGACAACGAAAGGATTCCTCCCGTGGTGGACTTCCACCTCCACATCGGCCAGTGCTTCGACAACGTCTGCTTCCAGTGAGGAATACTCTTATTAACATTAATAACGACATACATCTGCAACATGTCGAAATCATGTGTAAATGTGTAAACTATAGTATTTGTCTCTTTTTTTGTGCTCATATATTTATATAGACACTTTCAACTTACTTCACGAAAATTATTACCAACAATGAAAATGAAAAATGGAATCTAATGCCTGCTAAATACTCAAAATAGGTTCACCCTAAAGAATTATAATAAAAAATTAAGTTAAATGCTATAGAAAAATTAGTTTGAAGATTAATTCCTGGAAATATTATTGCCACTAGAAATTCGGATCAAATTAAGCCATTCATCAGGTTCACGATCACTGACATTCTTTAGGCCTATACTCCATTGTTTAGGTCCAAGGTATTTTAACGCTCGGGAGAGTGCGTAATTTTGCAATGCTACAATCGTACTTATTGTAGTTACATTTTTAACCATACCCTCCGACAAGGGTTAATGGAATTGATATAATAGCCGAGAACGAAATCCGAAGAATGAATGGTATGAAGGCAAATTTTTCTGGCAACCAGCTATGGTATTTTCCTGTCAAGACTATTATGAAAACGATGAAATCCATTGCCCTAATGTAGTATCGTATTTTGAGTTGTTTTTAATGTGATGTATATGATTACAGCAGCGCATGAAACTATATCTTATGAATATACGCTTACATAAATCGTTGACCTACGACGCAGCGTGACCGAGTACGACAACTTGGTCCCGCGCCTTCAGGCTGCCGCTGCATCTTCTGACGTAAAACGAGTCCTTCTGCCTAAGAAATACGCATACACTGGGGGCGTTTCATATGCTATTTACAGCGCTGTGAGTGTCCTACTCAATACTTGTCTACAATTTTTATACTAATTTTGAACCTCAACGACATGAATTGTAGTTATATCACATAACATAATTATATGTAATTATACGTGTGCGTAAAGACGCGCTACCTCGGTTGACTCACTTATGCCGATTAATAATTCGTATCAAATGACTAGTCGATAAATAATCCAGATTATTATTAATCGGCTCACTAATATGAGCTTCATTATTCGTGTACCCCTTGAACAAATAATATTAAAATCAATAAATTGATAACAACCACGGCCCTCGATCGGGTGCCGGAGGAGATGCGCGTGTTGGTCCAGTCTATTTGTGTTATACGTTCACATCAATCATTCTGGCTCATGAATCTAATCATGAATCTTATTATTAATTACGCAAATCATATCATAAAATAGTTGAATGACTAAAAACAACTCTCAGGTGCCGGAGGGAAAGAGCGCGTCGGTTCATTCTATTTGTCTTATAATCATTATAATAATTACTATTATAGATATTCATCATAATAATAAGTAATTTTACCCATGAATCTTGTTATTCATTACGCAAATCATCATAAAATAGTGGAATTACTAAAAACAACTTTCACGTGCCTTAGGAGAAGCACGTGTTGGCCCAGTCTATTTGTGTTATACGTTCACATCAATCATTCTGGCTCATGAATCCAATCATGAATCCTAATATTAATTATTGATATTTCATTAAAAATAGTTGAATAACTAAAAACAATTCTCAGGTGCCTGCGGACAAGCGGGTGTCTGCGGTGTCGCCGGTGGTGGCGCTGAAGGCGCGCAAGAACGACGTGGAGGCCAAGGGCATGAAGGCCGCACACCTCAGGGACGCCGTCGCCCTCGTCGACTTCCTTGCCTTCCTGGAGAAGGAGGTGTGAGAATACTTGACGTACAGGTTGATTTAGAACTAGCGAATTGTACCCATAATGCTGCATCACTGGGTAATGCTACTGTACGGTAGTATTGTTCCAAATATGTTTAATCTTGATATTTAAGAGGGAAATGGGCATTCGAAATTCAACTTCAACATCTACTCGAATCTCTCTTTCTTCTGAACCATCTCCTCTACTTCCATCATCAACCAACTTACTCTTCATCTTTCATCTAACCATTGTACCCTCCATCTACCTTCAAACCATTTATACCAGAATTTGTTACTACTCGTCATATTATACCAGAATCTGCTATTTCTTTCTATTGTGGTATCGATGTTGTCACGTTGATACAGTTCCAGAGTACCAGGATTGGTGCAAAGAGGCGCGGGTTCGATCCCAGCTCTGTGCGCCAGTTTCTGGTCAGAATCGGCGAGGAGGCCGGGCGGTTAAGCACAGCAGAATTTGAATCAGTGACTTGTGAGTTCGAGACCTCAAAAAGCTGTGGATGTTCTGCGATATTAAGAATCGGCGACAGGCCTATGGCCTAATAAACGCTGAATCCGCTATTATGTTGATACGTCCACCAGGTGGAGAGTGGTCGTGAGTGGGATGAGCTGAGTGCTGCTCAGCGCCTGGACGAGTACCGCGCTGAGCAGGAACATTTCTTGCGTCCATCTTTCTTCTCGGTATCAGCGTACGGCACCAACGGTGCCATCATCCACTACCGCCCCACCAACGCCACCACGCGCGCCATCACCAAGGACGCTCCTTACCTCCTCGACTCCGGGGGACAGTACTTCGGTGAGTATATGTTGTTAGTGACAACGATATTCACCAAGGACGATAACGATATGATAACGATATTCATGGACGATAACGATATGATAACGATATTCACCATCACCAAGGACGCTCCTTACCTCCATGGACTCCGGGGGCCAGTATTTCGGTGAGTTCATGTTGTTAGTGAGACCTACATTCACACTGACTCAACGGTGGTGGTTCAGGTGACGACTTAGTAAAAATGCTCGGAAATAGTGGAAAATAGCGGTTTTTTTTCCTAGATTGAGCAATGGGAACATAAATGTGAACAGGATGTAGAGGCTGACTCGGCTCACGTGGCTGTTGGTTGTGCGCTTTGGGTGTAAAAAGCAATCGAGGTGAATTGATATCAGAAATTGGCTGCTATTTTCCGTAAGTAGGTGATCGGGCTGCCGTTGAAATGTCCTCGCTAATTGAAGAGGTATTCCGACTGCTTGTTTTTTCCACGTAATGTTCCGACAAGGTTAGTGTTTGGAGATGTGTTTACGATAACCTAAGAAAAAGTCGTATTAAACCATGGATTCGCAACACTGTTCAATTATGCCGTTTGTGTTTCTTTGAAGCTTTTCATCATACACTATTTTATACCAGAATTTGTTACTACTCGTCATCTTATACCAGAATCTAGTATTTCTTTCTATTGTGGTATCGATGTTGCCGGGTTCAGACGGCACGACTGACGTGACCCGGACGCTGCACTTCGGCGCCCCCACGGAGCTGCAGAAGGAGGCGTACACGAGGGTGCTCATGGGGGCCGTGGACCTCACGCTCCTCGTCTTCCCCAAGGGCACCAGCGATGTCAACGTCGACGTCATCACCCGCAGGTCAACATTTTGGTTTTGTATGGTATTAGCTATGTAAGAAATAATGAAAAAAGTTACATGCAAACTTTATTGATACTTATGAAAAGTATTCCAGATATTGAGGAGCGCCCAGTCGGCTCGAAGTTGACATGTTTTGAAATACACGAAGAAAATGTTCTCAAGCGCCTGGTAGCTCTAAATCCCAACATGTCATACGGGCCAGACGGCTTCCATCCCAGATTGCTCAAAGAATTAGCTACCGTTCTGGCCGGCCCATTGACAGTATTCTTTCAAAAAACCTTGAACGAAGGAACTTTGCCGTCCAACTGGAAAGAAGCTCAAGTAACACCATTGTTCAAAAAGGTGACAAAAGCAGCCCCGGCAACTATCGCCTTGTCAGTCTGACAAGTGTTGTTTGTAAGCTAATAGAATCTGTTGTAAGGGATAGGATTATCGGTCACTTGACTGTTCACCATCTCATATCAGATTGTCAACATGGTTTTATTGCCGGTAGATCCTGCACCACTAACTTATTATCTACTTTGAACGATTGGACTCGCCTGCTGGACGAAAGGGAGCCAGTGGATGCATTGTACCTCGGTTTTGCCAAAGCATTTGATAGTGTTCCGCATGAGCGGCTGTTGCGTAAAGTGAACTCTTTGGGTATTGAGGGAAACGTGTTCCAATGGGTCATAGATTTTCAAGTAGGTAGACGACAGCGTGTCAGTATTAACGGAACCGTGTCAGACTGGGCATCAGTGCGCAGTGGCGTGCCACAAGGAAGCGTTCTTGGGCCTATTTTGCTCGTTGCTTTTATACACGATTTGCCAGAAGTAGTGTCCAGCGTGTGCTCCATGTATGCCGATGACACAAAAGTTTATAATACAGTGAAGGATGCGTCAAATAAAGAGCTATTACAAGATGATCTTGACAGTTTAGTTAACTGGGCTGATTCGTGGCAGCTGCGGTTTAATGCTGACAAGTGTAAAGTACTTCACCTCGGAAAGAACAATGAACAGCAAGATTACAGTATGAGAAGACATGGTTGTAACGACAGAGTAATGATTGAAAAGTCTAGTGTGGAAAAAGATCTCGGAGTTTATGTCGACAAGGAGCTGAAATTTTCTAAGCATGTTGAAACGCAAGCTAACACATCCAACAAACTTCTTCGGCCAATCAGACGCTCATACGAGTTCCTAGATGAAGAAGCGATGAAGCAGTTGTTTGTTGCTGTCGTGCGCCCGAATCTAGAGTTTAGAAATGTTGTGTGGTCACCGAGATTTGAAAAGGACAGAAATTTATTAGAGAATGTTCAAAGACGTGCAACAAGGATAATCCTAGGCTTGAAGGGCAAGTCCTATGAAGAAAGATTGAAGACTATGAAGCTGCCAAGTCTCAATTATCGATGTCTGCGTGGGGACCTCATTGAAGTATACAAGTATACTCGCGTGGTTTATACAAGGTCCCCGAAGGATTACTAGAATTTGAAACAAGAACCAACACCAAGGGGTACGGCTATAAACTAAAAAAACTGCGCTGCAACTTGCTCAGCGCGACAAAATTTCTTCTCGCTTCGATTCACCGACATGTGGAACAGCCTCCCCGATGACATCGTTGGCGCTCCGAGTATGAACGCGTATGAGAACAGACTAAATAAAGCTATGGAAAAATATATGTTCAGATTTGAAATGCCTAGCATCATATCTAACTCGGTGGAAGCCTAGTAGCTACTTCAAACTATCGTCAGTCATGAAAAGATCCGGTCAAATGACACGATTTTAGATCTTCTGTGAACAAGGCACGAAAAGGAAAAGAATCGGCGACAGGCCACATCAGGCCTACACTTCAGCGCCGAGATCACTATGTTATGTTATGTTAATACATCATATTACACAAAAAAAAATTTTAAGAAATCAAGTTAAACAGAGTTCATAAGTAAAATTAGTTATACAGAATACATAATTCATTATTTTGATTTTTTTTTTGTTGGATTGAATAGTATTTTTTTAAATTTGGAAATAATTTTGTTTGTTGATAATTGCGTACTTTCGAAAATTGCGCTGTTCGTGTCCGTAACTTCGGTATCGAAATTGATTTTGTAGAAAAATAAAAAAAATAAACAGGGCGGATTCACCGATAATTCCGTATATTAATCGATGAAATATTTTTTTCTGAAACTACGTATGTTAAGGCTGTCTGAAATTATATTTGGTTTCCAATTTCGGCAAGATTTTTTTTATTTCAACATTTCAAATTTTTGTGTATATAGTATATCTTTTGTATCGATTTTTTACTTCTGAAAATTTTTCATTATTGCAAATTCTTAACAATCATTCATGACAATGAAACATGTTGACAGGTATTTATACCAAGCCGGGCTGGACTACAAACACGGCACAGGCCACGGCATTGGAATGTTCCTCAACATACACGAGTGTAAGATGAATATTAAGATTTGGTATGTTACATGATGAATGTTGTGGAGGAAATTGTAGGCAATACGTGAAGCATTGTAGCGTGTAATGAGTGCCATCGTAAACTATAATTATCGTTGTTTGATTCACTTATTGTCGAAGCTAACGGTACTTAACGTTGGAACCCTCTTTCCGTGTCTTCTTAAACAATAGTTATCACTATTTTCTTCACCAAGTGTCGTCCTTAACGTTAGTTAAAACTGTGACTGAGCGTTACAACGATCGCGTCGCTATCTTTACTTATTTTTGTCTATAACGTTAAATAACGCTGTGACTTTCACTGAGCGCTACAATGATCGCGTCGCTATCTTTACTGATTTTTGTCCTTAATATTAGTTAAAGCTATGACTTTCATTGAGTGTTTTAGTGAGCAATAATCCCGTTGTTATCTTTACAAGCCATCGGCCTTAACTACATGTACATATACGTTCCCGCACGCAGCGCCCATCCAGGTTGGGATCTATGGTCATGAGCAGCACGAGTTCGAGTTGAACCATTTCTTCTCAGACGGTGAGTTGCTGATCAACGTTAAGTCAAGTCAAAATTTGAATTCTGGAGAGGTAATAAATAAACAAGTGCACTTATCATATAGTACAGGGTGCGGCGCGGGAACTTACTTATTTGAATTGCGCGCCACGTGGCGGCCATTAGTCCTAGGAAGGTGGCGCCATGCGCAATATGGTGCGCGGGCTATGAAGTTTTTCGTCCACTCAGTTCAGTTGCGACCATGCAGTTGCTGGTGACTTGGTGAGTGGTGAGGGCTGGTGACTTGGTGAGTGGTGAGTGGCGATGACCTAAGTTGATGTGCTTCCACAAGGGGACAGTAGTGGCTGCCAGTATAACTTGCAGATACTAGCCGCTACTATTTAACCCGAGCGATTGCCCTCGTGTAAATGTGTCACTGATCACGGAAGAACCTAGTAAACCTCTACACGCGGCTATTAGGATGATAATTAATCGCCATTTGCCTTTGAAATTAGTACTGGCCGCCACTGCTGGCACCGAGCACGATCGAGCACCACTTCATGCGTTCTGAGATTATGAGTGATGGAAAGGGCTGCAGTTATCCCCCAAAAAATATAACTCAGTACTCACTGCAGTGAGTGACAGAGAGCGCATTTTCTCAAAATCGACGAAAACGTGAAGTCACGGACAGACGGACAAACGGTCGGACGGACAGACAGACGGACATATGACGAGCACAATAGCGCTTTTTTTTCATAAATGAGAAAATGCGCTAAAAAGGCCTTCTATAACCTATATACGCAGTCAGTATCAATTGAACCCCTAACCCACACATAAATTTAATAATGCCATAAACTCCGCTATTAAAATTCAGATACCTCCCTGTCCACGAATATCAAACTTCAAAAGAAGTTGGAGCTTGACTAAACTTTTTACTCAAAACACTCAATTAATTAATTAATTAAACACTTTTACTCAATTAATCCCGACACTCGATGACATATTCGCCTACCAAAATAACTGAACTTAACTAAATTACACAGACAAGTGAACAATGAACACGTTACATTAATTGTTGCGGCTTCTTAGTTCGGCGTTACACCACTTCGCTCGGTCATGGACGTTATACATTAATTTAAGATTCTTTTAATGCTGGTTGGTTGGTTTTCTTTGCGGTGATTCACCCAAATTTTGAAGTAAATCAAACGAATTCACAGTTGTTTCATTGCAAATTTTCGTATTTTAGGAACGACTTTAATCTCAAAATTATTTTGTATAAATTTTTTCAAATTGGACATTTTCCCTATGCGCAGCCGTACAAATCAGACACTGATTTCTACGCCTTCGAAGCGGTCACGCTCGTTCCTTTTGAACCAAAGTTCATCAAAGTGAACATGCTGAGCCATGAACAGGTAAGAATCATGCCATTAAATCATCACGATGAACAAGTGATTATTATGTTATTGAATCATTTCAATGAACTGGACAGGAGTAGGATAGTAAATCACTATGATGAAAATGTCTGAATTTATTTATCACGCCGAAAATATCGAAATTGCTTTGATTATATATCGTTGTAAAACGGTTCGTGCTTTAGAGCAGACAATTGTGTTCCTCAATTAAAAACGAGGAACACATGGTATTGTATTTTCTACGAAAACGAAAATTTCAGTGCAAGTTCATCAACGACTACCACCACCGCGTGCGTACGGAGGTGGGCAACCTGCTGGAGAAACAGGGACGCTCCCAGGGCCTCGCTTACCTCCTGAAGAAGACGGAGCCTCTGGAGTGCTCCAGGTCCAGCGAAGAGTCCTTTGAATTATAGAAATAATAATATTCATAGCGGCGTCAGCGTTGATCAGGCCATTAGCCATGTCGCTTATTCTGAACATCTTTGAATTTTTATAGCTTGGGGCGGGTTTCGAACACGTAACTCATAACTCCAATTTTGATGTGCTTACTTGCCCGGAAACCCTGCCGATTTTGACCAGAACTGTCTCAGGTGACTAGGATCGAACCCACAACTCACTGCTCCAAATTTGGTACCCTGAACTGTAACAAATGTGCCACCTTCCTGAGGGTGAATTCCCAAGAACAATTTGCTGGTTGAGGTCCAACAGCAGGCCTCTTCTGTCATACGAACAAACGTTTTGTATGGAAGTTTCTTCATACTTTTTGTATGAAATTTACATATAACCCACTAATCTAGAATAAACTTATTCAAAATTTTTTATATAATCTCAACATATGAAGTCCATACTTTCAAGTCTCTACCATTAAACTTGAAGCAATATGACCTATTTCTTCAACACCGACACTTCTAATACAAAATTGTACGTGGGTAGTTGTTGCCACACGAGGGAAGTTTATCACGAGACCCTCGCGTGCCGCCTGAAATGTCCTCGCGTATATATAGTTTTACGCACATCATTGTTTGGGAACCACTGCTCGGAAAGAATAAGATTTTTGTCCAGTAAAATTTTCCACGCGATAGTTCTACAGCTGTGGGAAATAGGCTGCAGCAGGTCAATCTTACGTGCCCTCTTTGTGGATGCCTGGTCTCTATCTTATAGTTATAGTTCTACCAAATTTGCATACCAAACATTTACACTTACACGAATCCTTCATCTTCTGCCAACCTCTCACATATTGGGCGCTCCCATGCAAGTTACTTACCATAGTCGGTTGCTGTGGCATTTGGGATACGAGTATTTAGGTGCTTGCTCCGTGCTTTAATTGCAGACAAGTCTCTGATCTAACGAAATGGTTATTAACTGATGGCCGATTTAACTAAGGTAACGGACAACTTATAGTCGATCTGAGTTACCGGATAACTTATTATTGATGATTTCTTATTTTTATTTGGTCTTAACTGAATTTATATGCTATCTAGGATGATAGGATGAAAGTCCTGACGAGATAGGTCGTGTAGGGAAAGGAGTGGGGCAGCTCGATTGCCCTTCCGTGGACAGCTCTAGCGGTTTAGCCTATTTTCTTTTCAATAAATCCTAAAAAATGTATTACATGCTCTACCGTTGTTATTCTTGACCTCGCCACGATAATATTTTCGTCAATATCACCTGTCAATGCAAAAGTTTCTCGTCTGCATCTCAACACAAGACCAAAGAAGTTGATGTTCTGATCGGGACCTGGCAACAAGATTGCATTTAATTTTAAGGAAACTCCTCGATAAAGCAATGGACAATTATAATAGCGGTTTCAGCGTTTAGTAGGCCGTAGGTCTGTAGCCGATTATTAACATCGCAGAACATTCACAGCATTTTGCGGGCTCGAACTGGCACTGCTAACAATTATTCTGCTGTGCTTAACCGCCCGGCCTCCTTGCCGATTCTGACCAGAAACTGACGCACAGAGCTGGGATCGAACCCGCGCCTCTCTGCGCCAATCCTGGTACTCTGAACTTTAACCACTGGGTCAATTGAATCCGAAACGAATCTTTTTCTTTCATCTATGGTATACTGCAGTGTGTACAATATATCAGCATTTGCCAGGCTCTAGCACAACTTCACGTTCTGGAACAAGTTTCATGTAGTCATTAAGTAATATGTCACGAAAAAGGTTACATCATTATGCTTATTTGAAGTGCTATAAAAATTCACCCCAGAAGTGTCGGAGTGGTCCTTGTATGGGTGGATTGTCAGCGTAGAGTTTGCCCGAGTGATAAACATGTTGGCCTTAAGTTTATTGTATTTTTCAATGAACAAAAATCTAGAAAAATTATTGAATTGTCGCGCTTAATTCACAAAATTCCTATAAAAATATGACACTTTGTCAGGTTATATGGCCAAATTTGTTCACAAAACCAGCCAAAATGCCATATTTATTGTTGATTGTGTAATTTTAAGCGCAACAATTCAGTTTTTACGGATTTTTATTCATTGAAAACACAATAAATTCAAGGCCAACACAGATTTTGCCGGCCAAAGCTATTTAAAAAATATAACTACTCATTGCAAAAAATATATAGTACTCATTGCAGTGAGTGACAGAGAGCGCATTTTCTCGTCGACGAAAATGTGAAGTCACGGACGGACAGACAGACAGACGGACGGACGTACATGTATGGCGAGCACAACATCGCCTTTTTTTCCATAAATGAGAAAATGCGCTAAAAATGCCCAAATCTTCATATATGACCGGAAAAAGGCCCATCTGGCCACCCTGCGTGTCAGACGGTGTCTCTCCAATCTCCCAGTCGCCAACTTGGGCCCCCGGCCACGCCACTGACGCCAGTGACCATCTGGCAGTGGAGTGGTTAGGTAGTGCCGCGTACGTAGTGACCGCGACTAGTGCTGCTCAAGATATTTGTACAAATGTTTCGGTATTCACTTCATTCTGCCCTGGCTCTCTGCCTTGTGATCCTCCAGTGCAGAGGTACGTTCGTTGAATTTGTAGTCCTCTAGTGTTTTCCAGGTCACGAAAGTAGACAGATGCAATGCTATAGTAAATAAATGAATGTTAGTTACTTAAAATCTGCCACAAAATGACTGTGAACACTGAACACACGTTTAATGTGCCATGTGCGCTTTGTTGTCTAATTTTCTTCACTTACGTGTACTGCATTGACTTTACAAATTATGCAATAATGCGGGCGCTAAATTGTATTATTCGCAAAGCGCAGGTTTTATTTAATTCAAGTGCCCACAAGTCATATCCCCGTCGCTATTGATCAGCCATGCTGAGCAGTGATGAATGCGATCGGTCGAGAAACAAGGTGTCAAGCTCGGTCATTTCGGCTCTAGTTTCGATGGTAGGAAGCGGTGAAAGTAATTTTATCTCGCTACTAGTGCTGGCACAGTCGCTAGAAAATATTGGGAAAAAATCGGTACGGTGAACGGCAAATCTTGAAAATGATAGGACAATAATCAAGTACGAAATATGTAAGATCTGCTAACAGTGAAAAAATATAACTCAGTACTCACTGCAGTGAGTGAAAGAAGGCGCATTTTCTCGTCGACGAAAACGTGAAGTCACGGACGGACAGACAGACAGACAGACGGACGGACGGACAGACGGACATGGCGAGCACAATAGCGCCTTTTTTCCATAAATGAGAAAATGCGCTAAAAATCACTAATCGGGAAAGATCATAATGCCCAAATGGTGAAGTCCATCTTAATAGGATCTTCAATGGGACCAATCGTTTGTCATTTGCCTATCATTCAGTAATGCACGTTTGGAACGCCTTCATCGTATCTACAACGACCCATATTCAACTTGAAGTTTATTTATTTGTCGACCTTCTGTTTTCTGTGATGATTCTAACCCTTTGGCTAAGGCTACATCACCCGTTCTCCTGGCTGTTCGTACCTAGAAGCCATGTTAGTGGAGTAAGCTACCAAGCAACAACAGGGTTAGCCCGGTTAGGGCATTCGTGCTTCTGCCATGAAACGGGAGTTAAAGTCAGTAGATGAAGCGTCAAGCTACTCTTACCATAAAGGCCGGTCCACACGCTCAGTTTTCACAACGATTTGTCTGCGCAGTTTTAAGTCGGAATGAAATCGTTGCAATTTTAAGAGCGTCCACACGGTTCCGACTTATCTGAGTAGTTTGCTCAGTTTTGCGCGATCTCGCCTTGGAGACGTCTCGGACAAATTTTACGGCCGGTCTCCCCAAATTCGGTGAGCATGGAATATCTCCCAAAGTAATGAACGTAGCTCGATAAAACTTGATACACGTATTCATTAGGACTTAACGGTGATGTTAAGCTCGTGAACATTTTTGGAATTTCACCTTCATTCCTGAGTTATATGACGATACGTGCTGAAATTTGCAGTGAGCATGACATTTCTTCTTAACTACTGTACAGATTTGAACGAAACGTTGAATATAGAAACCTAACCTCCCAACGGCGATGTTTAGCTCGTGACAATTTTTTAGATTAGATAAAGTCGTATAACTCGCAAAGGAAGGCAAAATCGAAAAAAAATTGTCACATGCTAAACATCACCGTTAAGTACTAATGAATACGTGTATTAAGTTTTATCGAGCTACGTTCATTACTTTGGGAGATATTCCATGCTCATCGAATTTGGGGAGACCGGCCGCGAGTCCGGCCGTAAATTTATCCGAAACGTGCCATGGAGAAGGCAGTATTTTCATAAATTTTGGCATTGTGCCTTGTCAAAAAAGAGATTGGATCATTTAGGGATTGCGAGGAATCAAAATACAAGAGAGATGGCTTGTAGATGTCTTCTTTGCCAGGTCCAGATGGAATCGATTTTTTTATTCATTCCCAATTATTTACGGTAAATGCTCAACTTATTTTACAGCTGTTTCTATGTTTGCGCTTTCATCGATTTCTTTGAATTTTTCTGCTAAGCCCTCGTATGTCTCCACCTTTTTTGTCCCTGTTACTATAGTCATTGAATTTTACTTGCCAAATGCAAGAAAAACTTTCGTATAGAAAAGCAATAAATTCCCGAGAACATTACCGAAGGTCCGCCATTGTCGCCAGAATCATTGAAACTGAGCACAAATCGAATCGGAAAACTGTGCTACCGTCCACACGTTCCGACTTGTCTGCGCAGGTCATCGAAATCTATGCTCGGTAGCTCAGATTTCGATGGAACTGCGCAGTTTTCCCGCCGGCTCCAAAACTGCGCAGTTTTCCCGTCCAGACGCAACGTTTTGTCTGCAACGATTAGAACTGCGCAGACAAATCGTTGTGTAAAACTGAGCGTGTGGACCGGGCTTAAGACCTGGTAACGGTGAATACAGTCGAGAGACAAAGGGTGAAACTACGTATAATAATAGCTTTAACACGATTAGCAGATTCGTGTGCATGTTGATCTTCACTACAAAGCAGAATCCAGTGGCCCAAAACAGGAGTTACAGTCTAGAGGAAATGCTAAAAGCTGTCCGAATCTTGAGGCTATAAAAAACGGCATTGGTAGACAGTTGACAAAGATTTATCCTGTGTATATGCATAAATTACTGTTGTCAATACTGGTATCAGTGGTCGGTCGACAAAGTGTTGAGCTATTCGTACCTAAAGCCCCAGCACCATTTTTTACCGACAATAATAAGCAAAGGTTGTTTTTTTTTTATGCAGAATATGGCCGTCGTCAATACTATTCATACGTAAAGACGACTCCGTCGGTCGACGAAATGTTACTGTGGGTAGCTGATCGCAGCCCTGCGCGCTGTCAAGGTTAGGTTTGGAAACGTTTTTTTCTCTGCCCAGGCATGCTGTGCTCCAGCGCGCCTGTAGCGACTGGTTTCCTTGGACTATCACCCAGCGCTGCCTCCTGCATGGAGACTTGTATTGCTTATATTCACTTTGGAATAATTTATCTTCTTAACTAGCTGAATAATATATTACTCATAACCGTTAAATATTCTATATTCGAAAGTTTTTCTTTTCTAAATTGCTATGGGAAGCTCGTTGCCTTCTTTGTCGGTACTACTATTTTCGACAAACTTGTGATTTTAAATACGAATAATTTCGCACATTTGCATCATATCGTTAGATGACTTATATGCTGGATTTTCGATGTATTGACCTGTTCTTTATGGTGATTGGTTAAAATCAGAGGCAACGACTATAATTTACAGCTATCTCACCCATATTTATGGACAACTACATCATTCCTGGGAGTGCACTCATTTACCCTAAATTTTTTAGCTTTCGTATGTTAGTGCTCCACTAATATATGTGATTGCATAAGGATTATGAAATAAGAGAGTTGATTAGTGTAAGTATTCATCACTTACATATATTGATATTATAATATTAATAGAATGAGAGCGTAGAATAATATAAAAATCCTCTGTTATTAAAAAAAAAACTTCCGGTCTGATATTCCAAGAGCTGTCGAAGTCCACGCATCTTGGGTTGCCACTTACCAGTTTTTGCCGCATTTTTTTGCCCCCTCTCTCCCTCCGAACTTAATGCTGTTCTGATGTGGTATTATTGCCCCCCTCAGCGTTTTGGAGTTGCCAAGGGCATCTCCGCTAGGAATTTCAGTTCTGGTGTTAGTGACGTCTTGAAAAAAGTATTTTTAATTACAAATAACGTTGCCAAATGTTTTATAAGGTTGCCAAGTTGAATTATAGAGCGCAAATATACTTATCGCTCACATGTGATTGATGTTCTTCAATATTTTTAATATTTAATTTAATGTTTAGCTTGCAAATCATCGTGAATCATTTTGCAGTAAATTACAATTGTTTTATTGACGCTAGAAAAATGCTTTAATAATCTATAGATTTCTTTACCTATAAAGTTTTCATATTTGAAGCTACCCGTCGATAGCCAGGTATCATGGGTGCCATCAAAATTCATCCGCACCTTGGCCGATGAATACCTGGTAATTTAGTAGTTTTTTATACACGAATGATAATTTAACTGATGGAAAAAATTGCCTAAAATTCTAATTGTTTGATAATTTTCATGCATACTCCCGAGCAGCGCCGGTTTAGTATGATAAGGTTTTCATATGACAAGGTTTTCAGTATGATAAGGTTTTATATATGAAGTTATAAGGTTTCTCATATGAAGTTTTTTATATATTATAAAAATAGTAGTCTTAGATAATCGAATAATGTTGACTATTCGTCAGGGTATCAGTGAACAACACTGTATGGATGTGCGCTACCCGCATCTTAGTTTGCCGCTGCCGCATGTAGCGCCCCACAACGAACACTAATTGCGGAAATGGATCTCTAACTGTGGAAATGTAATATTAATTATTTCTATGTACCATTAATTGTGGCGTTTACCATTAATTGTGTCTTATGTGCCATTAACTGTGACATTTACCATTAATTGTGACATTGTGCCATTAATTGTGGCATTGTACCATTAATTGTGGCATTGTGCCATTAATTGTGGCATTGTGCTATTAACTGTGGCATTTACCAAATTACCATTAATTGTGGTATTGTACCATTGATTGCAGCGTTGTGCCATAATTGTGTAATTGTACCATTAATTGTGGCATTGCACCCTAAATGTGGCATTGTGCCATTAATTGTGGCATTGTACCATTAATTGTGGCATTGCACCCTAAATGTGGCATTGTGCCATTAATTGTGCGTTGTGCCATAATTGTGTAATTGTACCATTAATTGTGGCATTGCACCATAATGTGGCATTGTGCCATTAATTGTGGCATTGTACCATTAATTGTGGCATTGCACCCTAAATGTGGCATTGTGCCATTAATTGTGTCATTGTGCCGTTAATTGTGGCATTGTGCCATCAATTGTGGCACTGTAGGTTTAATTGTGGCGGCAATGTACTATTAATTTTGTCATTCTGCCATTATTTCTGTCTATGTGCCTATAATTCATTAATTGGGTCACTGTACGTTTAATTGTCGTGTCAATGTACGTTAATTGAGGCCATATGCGTGACAAGGAGCTGGAGC